CTCAGTATGGTTTTTCAAGACTAGCCAAGCGAGCAAGTTCAATACGCGCGCACAATATTTGAGTTGGATGAGTTAGAACAGGATAAAACTGTTGAAAAGGAAATAAATAAGTAAAGACAGACAGGAATCCTGTCATAGAATTACCGTTGGGTGTTAAAAGTGCTACTGTGTGAAGTACTCCGGTAAAAATACAATGCAGCAAAAAAGTGGCGAAAAGCGCGACTAGCTTGAAAGCACTTCTAAATGTGCTACTTTAAACTGCTTGCTGAAATCTATACCACTTATTGCCAGGGTATAAATGTTGTTGCTAGTTCGTTACTGAGAAAGTAGCGTGTACACAAGAGCAAATAAGTGAGACTGTCGGAAATTATAGCATTTGGCAATTCCGCAATATTAGCAAAAAAGTGAGATTGCCGGATTGTATTACAAAGGACGCACGAACTCGCTCCCCTGGTGAAATTGAAGTTTTTAATGGTGAAATAGAGGTTGCTAAGGTGTAGTAGGGATGATGACTTGCAGTCACGAGGCTTTCTACTGTCAATGGTTTCCCCACTGAAGATCCCCATGAGCTCAGTAGGAAAAGGATCGATCCGGACTGATCCTCTACGGTCAAGCAGAGTCAGCGAACTGAATCTCCTTCCGCCGCGGTATCGGCCTGGCCGAGCCGCCGTGGAGAAAATACAGGTATTCGTCGCCTGGAGTCACAGACAATTGACAAGAATCCCCCCAGAAGGCGGCATAGCCATGGCTTGGAATAACGACTAGCATTTCATTTCATTTGATAATATTTTTAGTGTCATGGGCTTTCCTGGTTACTTTTCAAAATCTGCTGACAATTACGGGTGATTCCAGTGGAGTCACTCCACCTTACTCAGGCCGAGCGTCGATGTGGTTGGAACGATAGATTCTACCTCGACAAGATACCCGAGTACGATCCGTTACAAGACGCTAGCTGCGTGGGGTATCGCGCTATGCTTCGAAGGAAGCAGCTGAGGGCTGCGAAAAGGAAAACATCTTACACAGTCTCGTAAGCCGGGCTGTCCCACAAGCTCACCACGAGAAACCACCGTTAAGATGATTTTGGAATGCGACTTCAGAAGATCTGCAAAACTGCGCATATCTCTGCATCCCTCCTAATGTGACGTGTCTATTTCTACACAGTTCCCATGGCATTTCTGCGGCCCAGAGGAGACCTCCTCGTGCTCCTATGCTTGGGCGGCAGAGGTTCCCTGACCGCGCCAATGAACGGGAACAGCTAGTGCCACAACTTGTGAACCACATACGTCAGTGTTGGCGGAGCTTCAGAATACCAGAGATCCATCGAAGGTCTCTCTTTCTGTCGGCTCTTGTCGCTCAGCCGGATCGTCCAGGCACTACGCCAAAGCATTCTTCCATCCCGGGACGAGGCCCTCTATATTAGTAGCAGAAGCAGATCGATTGGCTCGTGATATCGCCCCGGTGCAGAAGGCGATGAGGGCAGTTCTGCACAGGGAAGGCATCATACAGAAACTCGGTCAGACAGTAACGTTGTCTCTCAGCCTGGGTTTGGTGGGTTTAAATCAAATTCCCAAAGGGAAAGTCTCAATTCCGTTGAGCGCCAGGGGCCTATCCAACCACTAATACATGGTTGAGTAGCTACTACTGCCCGTAGTAGCTCTTGCGTAGCGCGTCCGAAATATTGGCGTGTTTCTCCACGAAGTGAACGTTAACGGAGTTCAGACTCATGCACTCGATTCTACAGCTCAGTATAAAAGCCCATGGGTCAGGTCTGCTAAAGGCTGTATCCTAACTGTACATGGAACTCTGCCCCAACAGACTGATTTTAGATCAAATCGACAAGGTGGTGAGCGAGCAACCCAATGCCTTGAATTCCGCACAGTTGCGCGCTGAGCTTGTCGCGAACCTGCTGGCCCTCAGGGAAGTGAGTCCACCCGCTTCGATATAGTTTGAGAGAAGCAACCGCGATGTCGTCTCATGCAGGCCTCAATTGAGTGTGTTGAGGCTATAGTGCGATGGAGGCAGAAGCTCATCCCTCCGTCATCACCTAGCACGCGTAGTCATAATGAGAGTAACGGTAAGCCTCGAGAACTCGGGACACCCGCGTAGTCTTATGTCAGACACGCTTGATGGCTCGCCACCAAAGTGGGTAGATGAGAAATCCGGACTGAACTACCTTATCAAGATGAAAACAGACACCTTGTGGCTTGCAGACGCTAGCTTTTGCAAGCTCGTTGAGTTCAGCTCGAGGAGGTAACGCTAGTGGCACTGCCACTGTGGCAGCCCTAGACCAGTTCGAAGGCGCCTCTCTGCTATTCTACATTTTGTATGGTTCCTCATCCTATTGGACTTGTTTCAACTGGTGCCGAATGTTCGAGGCTCCGTGGCATATGTAGATCCATCTCAGTGACCCCTTCCTCGTGGGCCCTAGCCTCTCGCCATCGAGTAGTTCAACCGTACCCGAACCACTGTCAACGCGTAAAGGGGCAGCCCCGAGAAGACCTCAAAAACGCACAGTACATCTCCCCCTTCATAAGGACCAGCTTGGTAGGCCTCCATCGACTCACTCGAAAAAACCTGTCCGTAATTATCAGATCGCATTCGGGACTGCGAGATGAATCTGCTGCAAGAGTCAGTCCTGGACTGCGCGCAACAGCAGGACGTGACCATCACCACCACCGACGATCCCCGGGGTGTCTCGGCGGGCAGCGAGCCCGAGTGAGACCACTCGGGAGCACGCCGATGATACGATTCTTCTACCATCAGGCATCGGCCGCTCATTACCCTGAGCGATGACAAGAGAGAAACTCCAGATAAGCTGAGAGCTGATCGTCAAGGTCGGACCATCAACTTCTGAACTGTTGACCTTCACTTCAGAAGGAACAGCTGAATTCAAGGGAGACGTTAAACCCAAACCAGTCACCTTCACGCCGGCGAAATGCACTCGTGACATCATGCGTGCAGAGTTCGAAAAATACGTCACGGTCGAGGCCGACCCGGTGTCTTTAGCCTCAACGAGCCGAACCTGGGCACAGGTGGAAGGTGCCGTACACGGTGCGAACCCGACGAGCACCAGAGGTGGTCCAAGCCAGGTATGCATCTGACCTTCTCAATAGATCGACGCAGCGACTGCGAAAGAACACGACTGTATGTGCACTCCCTGCTCAGACATGCTGCTGGTGGATCATGGCTGACGATGGGAGTAGGATCGGGCTCGTCGTGTATCACTTGAAGACCCACCTTGTCCCTCAAGCGCATATAGTACATATCTCCGTGAAGGACGTCACATTGACAGAGATGGTGAGAGCTGGCTCTACGCCGCTTCAATGGGTTGCCTCTCGCTAGGTTGTAACGAGTCTACGTGTCCACATCTTCGAGCGCTACCCTGAAGTTAGCTCCATCAGAGCTACCCTATGGTCGCAAGACGAGACCGTGGCGCGCGACATACCTTATTCGTAGTTACACTGAGACTCCAACGGCAGAGGACGGTTCGAAATATGCAATAGATGAGAAGATCGAGGGAGCGTAGGCGTGCATTCTGCTCTGCTTCTCGAATAGTAGAAGGTTTGCGGTTCCGCACTCCCAAGGACTATTGCAGCCGTCAATGCAACGAATCTCGATTCTCGTTTTTGGCTCTCGGAAAGAGCCATTGGATGCCGCTTCTCTTGATAGGAGCTCCTATTCAAAGCTCTCGAGATGGGCATCTGTATAGCGCGGAGTGCTTAGATTCAAACGAGCTCATTTCCGGTGGTTTCAGCTGACGCAGGAAAGTGATGGCAGACGTGGCCAAGTATTCAACATACTACTCCCCTCGCGTCCTGGTCCAATCTAGGTCATGAACTCGAGACGAAACATAGAAGAACTAGGCGACCCTGTCGGCCTGTATGACGGTGAGATCGCACCTGACGATGGAGCTCTGCAGTTGCAGACATGCACGCTAGTGAGAAGAGAATTGCAACGCACGGACCGTGTGACACGGGATACAATATAGTCCGAATTCAGGGCTTGATCGTCCCGAGCGATGCATCCTTGAGCTGCGACCAGAGTAGAGGACGCGTCCACAACCCAGTTGTCCTCGCCAGCGCTCTCGTCAGAGCCGGTGTAACTTCCGAAGATCTAAATACGTAGGTGGAACGGGACCGCATGCTTCTGCTGATGACGCCTGTCGAAGGCTCTCGGAACCTCCACCTCTTCTGCAGAGATTGATGGAAGGCCTGCAATGCAATGATAGCGAGGTAGGCTTTCTCCACGTTGTTAGTATTCATTGCTTTACCAGTTGGCCACTGGGCTACCCGAGTCGCTAGCCAAGAGCAGGCTCCTGCCGTCGACCCTCGAGACGATTCTGCAATGGGCAGCCGAGAGGTGCGTCTAACAGCGAAGACTCAAGCCGGAAGGGAATACTCCTCAGTTGTTGGTATGACTTTACGAGTGAGAAGTGGAGTTCACGGCTATCAACGTCGATGCATAGTGTTGATAGAGTAACAGTGCTATCCGTTCCCATGTTGTCAGTCGCAGCAGCGACTAACCTTCTTCACTTCTCGTCAGGTTTCGAGCGCTCCTGTGTCTGCGGTTCTCGGCATGAGCCTGAGTGTGTCTGTGCATGTGAGCCTTCTCTGAGAAACAGTACTGCTGCAAGTCTCGGCCTCCTTACTAGGTACCCTATCTACTGAGCGATGAAACTTTCATCTCAGGGGCGTGCTTGCTACCGATACAGTTCGTCGCTCGCAGCGAGAAGGCTCCGCCGTTCACAGTGGGTGTCTGTGGCTCTTTCCGCAGAGAGAGCTCCCCTGATTCGAGGCAGATTTTCTTCATTCCGACCTCGGATGAGGAGTTGGTTCTGGCTGTGATACCGGCACCTCAGGGAGTGCTGAAAGTCGACGTCCTCGCATGCGTACTTGAGGTAGATTCCCTTATTTTTCTTCACAAACATCTCGTTCGAGACACTGGACGGTGCTTCCCGAGAGGATAGTCCTGCGTTCTCCCATATTGTGCTGCCACATGTGATGGAAGAGGAAACATCGACCACGGATGTTCTCACAGGTGAGCAATTCGAGGCGATGTTGTGGAATTGTCCTTCTCTCTCATCCTTTATTATATGAGTATTTTTCAGGTGTTGAGGTTCCAACATCTAATGGTGACACCTCCGAGACTGAAGAAACTCGAGGGAAGATGACTGATTTGGTAGAGTTCAAGCGTTTGAGCATCATGCCCCAGTGTTCCACGGATCGTACCCTGGGCTTCTTGACTGAACCTGTGGTGAGCGACCCAGCAGCTGGGTCTCAGCTGCCGTGGGCTGACCCCGACGAGTTCTTTCTCTCTCAGGAACAATCCAGGGTGGCGAGGATGTGCCTCGACGAGCCCTTCATCATTGCCCTTTGCCACGCGTCTCTAGATGATCTCAATATTCCGTTGCATGCTTCTCTTGTGTGCCCTGAGTCGGAAATCTCATCATCACGCTGATTTCATGTATTTTTGTTGTGTTGCGCGAGTTTGTCTCATGGCATTAGTCATGGAATATTGTCCACATGTTCTTCGGGTATGTAGGCGGTAACTCTCGGACAGAACTTCCGTATTGATATACTTCTAGTTGCGTTCCCTCATATCACGCGTTTGTCGAATTTTTGAGGTCACTTTCTCACAAGAGCTCGGCATAGCTGTGCAACGATTCACAGCCTGGCTCTGGGCCTCAGACCTACTCGAAGGATTGTTCTGCAACCGATAAACTGAGCGGGAGTATTCAAGATAAATTCCTAACCCTGCAACAGCGATGCCGTCCAAGCGTTCCACGTGATACTTTTTCAAGCAACGCAGCCTCATTATGGTTACGCCAAAGCCATGCAAATCATCGGCATCCTGTTGACTCAGGATACCACATCACTACTCCAGCAGATAGCTCTGCAGGCGACCATTTAAATTTTCATACAAGCTTCATCACAATATCAGCAAACTTCATCGATTGTTTCATTGCCAACAGTATAGCAGTTCCCACCATGCCATGTCACGTTTTCCTGACCTATCCACTTAAAGTCGAATGGAACCGTCATACCAGCATTCGAATATTGGAGGACTATATAGAAAGACATCAAAGCAACCTGAACAGAGATAAAAGGCCAAAAGAAGCGATACATTAGTCGAAGGAAGATGGATATGATAGATTCCTGGTACCACCGCTTCATGGCGACTACGAGTAGCATGAAAACACCAACTTCAGCCACGATATCGACCAACAATCTGCGAATACCACGCATAAACTCCTCGTCAGTCATATCCCAGAAGGTGTCGTGGAGCTTCGGATTCACGGAACGTAGGACAACAAAGCATATCAAAGAGTGTATGGGAGCGAGGATCTCCATTGCTTCCTTGCATATAGCGATACTCATGATAGAGAGTGGGCGCCTAGCGGGTTCCCCATCTTCTGGTATCTCCTCGCTCCTCATGTTGGCATCGAGATCTTCCACCACCCCGTCCAAGTTGCCTTTCCGAGATTTCTCGACAGATTCGCTCTTCGCACAATCATTAGCGATGAGCTCTGCTTCCGGCCGAACAAAGTCAGTTTGCCCTCCGAGAGGACCCGTAAATGAGTATGATGTACTCATAGTAGAGGTTCGTCGAGCCATCCTCCTACAATCCGCAGTTTTGAGGAGGTCTTCGGAGACTGGCTGCTGCAGGCCGAGTATGTTTGAACCGGTACCAACTTCTGGATTCACACCGATGCTCCCGTATGCGGGTGGCTGTATTCGCGAGAAGCCCGGATCATCTATATCGCATGCGGAATGCGTTCTGGTTGGCCTTCTTGGTCTTTCCCAAAACACGTCTGACTCAAGCTGACCAAGAGCGTAAGATGCATTGAGCGACGACCCTATTGGATGCCCCTCGTCATTGCCCTGTATGGCATCTTCGCTTCTTTCAGCGTAGTGACATCCGTAATCCACGAAGCCATTCTCGTTGAGTTGCGTTGCTTGAAGCAACTTGCTTCATAGGAACTACTCGAGGGAAGCTCGGCAATCGTGAATGGTAGCTGCGTCCGGTCGGCATCCTCAGGTCGTTCCATACTATCGTTATCCATGCTATGTGAATCGAAGTCTCCAACTTCGACGGGAACTTGGCAGACTTCATTGCTCTTCGGAACCGATGGTCTGACAATATAGCTACAGTAAATATAATAGAGGTTCTCAGCGAGGTCTAGAGCGATCAGTAGGAAGGCCAGCCAGGTGTGGCTGACAGAACTAATGACAGACGCAGTAAAGAACTCATAAGCGTACATGGCGAATAAACTTATTAATGGATAACAATCAATGCAGTATAATCTTGCGTAGTGCTTGGCAGCTATCTCAAAGACTCCCCTGAAGATGTAGAAAGATAGGAAAACAAGCATCTTCACCAAGCCGACGCTACTAGATGAAAAGTGATAGAGCAGAGGAGAGCCAACGGCGAAAGTGAATATACCACTCCCGATGGTGATGATCATCATAACGAATTCCTCCCTCGATGCGGCCGAGCGCCTATCTTTCGGGAGGTCATAGTATATCATGCCAATTGCAATTGGCGTTAAACCACCAAGTACAGGCATCCATGGTAGGGGATAATAAGGAGTGAAAGCCGGAATGACACCGAGGAAGAATAACTGGATAACACTCGCCATTCCACCAATCTTGAAGTACTTCCATACACGGCGATCGCCCCAAACGTCGGAGAGGAAGGTGTTGGCCCACGGGGCAAGGCTAAAGGTGCACTGCAGGAGGGTGAAGAATAGTACTGGCAACCATTGCCATACAGGCAAATCGATCGGCCCAGAAATCGGTATCGCAAATGTAACTAGACAGATGAGTGATGAGAAGCAGGCAGTGAAGGCGGTCAGGTAGAGCTTGGGGTGTGGTATCTTCAAGATACTATCTCGATAATAAGTGAATCCTTCCAGAAACAGAAAGCGGCGTAGTATACCACAGCTCACCGTGTCACTTCGTAGGAATCCAACGAGTTCTGGGGAATACTCGGGAAAGCCTGTTATACGCTCATGAGCGGCACTCAAGGCTACACTGAATGATTCCGAATACCTTCTAGTCAAAGATGGACGTCGCTGAAAACACACGAGTCTTAGGCTGGGACTGATTGATTCACCGAAGATCACTTCCACTAAGTTATTCGAAATGCGAACAAACCCACGGCAATTGAAGGTGTGCTAGACCTAGACTCTCTAGTATGCATCTCAACATCGAGCCTTGAAGATTAGTAACAACAATACGAGTGGGAGTTAATAGGCTGAGAACATTTTTCTCTGAACAATAGTATCAGAGACAATATGTACGCTGAGTGCTTACTTTATTTTCTGCCGCGTTGAAAGTGTCCGGACCAAGAGACGAGCAGCTCTCCGCAGATGGTACTGCCGTTCGACCACCCACAGGGCCGGTGCGGTCCCGTGACGTTTGTCTAAAGCGAGGGTCTTCCTATGACCTTAACACTGGTTCGAATCTTACGGGGCCGAGGATAGCGTACTATCTCGGTGAGTAGTAGCGTTTTGGTTATCGGAGCTCATATTACGTTCAGAAAATCGAACTAAAGAAATCTATGCTCACCCCGTATATAAAGCGCTGCCCGGGAACTCAGCTCGACTGATGGACTCGTCCTGGGACCTCTGATGCCAGGGACTTGACGCCCAGCCTTTCTCGATATTACCATAAACGAAATCCACTACAAGTCGAGAAGCACAACGGCTCTAGTCGATGCATTGCAGACGATCAGTGAATGGCATTCATCACTCGCGGGGGGTCGAAGGGAAATTTCCCGCTCGACCCAGCTTTCGTTCTTACTTGGTCGACCCGTTGCGACCAGCTCTGGTGGTCAGACGAATGCTACTTAGCTCGGCGTCAGGTCGAGATCCGAAATCATTCCATCAGAAGAGCACCCAGCTTTTTTCACTGAAATACTCTGATGGACTCAGCTAACCTTCGATTCTCTTACTAAACAGAAGAGAATCAATGCTAGATCTCGACTAAGCTTGCTTTTCTAAACGATCTACGACAAGGACCTATTTGAGTTGGGGCACTATCTCGACCGATCAAGCCTTATCGGTAATGCGTTATCCATTCTTATCGGATCTTCGCCCATGTGCTTGGGCGAGACGTGAGGCCTCAACGAACTTCCGCCTCGGAGACGGCGTCTCTCTCCTATGCCGATACCCAACGTGAAGGAAATGAGCCACTCACGACGACTTGCTGCTCGATACCAATCTAATCACATCTCCCAACGGAGGAGCCAATGTGAGGCTTCCTGCGTCGAAGTCAGAATAGGTTCGTTCACTCCAGAGTATTTCGCGGTGAATACTACACCTTTCCCCGTGCAAGTTTGACAAGTGAGCAGACAAGAATGACAATGTTACAAGCAAGTTTGACGTTGAGAATTCAAGTTTGACACTGGCAGAATATATCAGTAGTGACATTTCGGATCTCCCGCTTGAAACGTTGTCGTCAGGCAGTTGACTATCCCCATTATACGGAATTCCAGCCTATCGGCAGATTCGTCTCAGTAGATAGTGACAGCTCAATGAACCTTCATATACGATGTAACCACCGATGACGATGTTGGTTCGGGAAATGACATTTATCAGGTGCCACAAGTTCAGGCTTAGGTTCACCTGAAGGCAATATGTCAGGTGTACTCGGCCATGATGCTTGGCATTGCCGAGTTGGCAATTCAATGTAAAGCACAATGCGATACAACCCTATCGTTCCCCCGAGTGGAAGCATTCAGAAGTATGGCTTCAATCACCAAAACAACCGAGCACTTCGCTTTCTGAACGCACCGCGCTAGTTTCGTTGGTGTACCAGTGGGAGAGTACCACGACAATGCATACACAGCCGTTGGCTTTTGCAAGCTCGTTGAGTTCAGCTCGAGGAGGTAACGTTAGTGGCACTGCCACTGTGGCAGCTCTAGACCAGTCCGAAGGCGCCTCTCTGCTATTCTACATGTTGTGCGATTCCTTATCCTATTGGGCTTGTTCCAGCTGATGCCGAATGCTCGAGACTCAGTGACATAGATCCATCTCAGTGACCCCTTCCTCGTGGCTCCTAGCCTCTCGCCATCGAGTGGCTGTTTTCAAGGGAGACGTTAAACCCAAACCAGTCACCTTCACGCCGGCGAAATGCACTCGTGACATCATGCGTGCAGAGTTCGAAAAATACGTCACGGTCGAGGCCGACCCGGTGTCTTTAGCCTCAACGAGCCGGCATAACACGCCTAATCTAAGCAACTGGAAGTAATCTATGCAATCCATGCTAATCTGAGCTAGTACTACAAATCCGAGCAATGGCTCCAATTCTATGCCAATTGGCTATGCCATGCAACCTGGTTTTGGCGAGATGGTTTAGATGTTATCGACAAGACAAAATGAAAAGTGAAATCGCAGTGCGAATATACGATAAGACCATAGTTGTTAGTCACAGTGTGACTATGCTGTGCTGTCACACTAGCACACCATTTCACACTGTGTCACACTGTGTCTGTCACACTAGTCACCAACGCGATAAGTAGTTTAGCATGAAACATTTAGTGAAGAAGTCGTACAAGTGTCGTACATCAGGAACATGTAACCTACGCTTATAGAATCATAACAGCAATTGATACTCGCTTTCGCTCGTGTCGCTCGCTTCACCGGAATCAACACCAGTACGAGAATCTGACCATCCTAGGGGATCGACCATATCTTCGTTATACGATAAGCTCACAATATCGCGTCGAAATGCAAATTGTATACACGTTAGGAAACAACGTGGGTTCTTACCGGCCTCTTCAGTTCCTTCGATAGGAGAATCATTGCCGAATTGGCTGGCTTGGCTGTATATTGAGCGATATCCATCACTGCTGTCGCACGACTCCTCTTCTTCAGAAGACGATTCGCCATCAGTTAAGGTATCATAGTCATCCTCGCTTGATTCATCAGTTCCAGATAAAAGCGAGGCGATACCTGTCAGGAAACGAACATGGTCAATATCCAGAAGAAATTGTGAGAGACTGATGTTCCCACTTGTTTCGTTGTCCGAGAGGTTTTCTGTATCATCTATTGTCAATTCTTCACCTGAAGAAATGACAGGTTCTTCAGCATTACAGAAGACACCCTAAATGACGAATATTCACTGATTATGTGCCTGTTCAGGGTGCTTTCTATAGTACTACTCACCATGCTGTGGGAGTGAGACAGCGGAGTTATATCGGCCCAAAACACCTGGATTCCGTGCAGTTGCTCGTCCTCGTCTCAAGCCAGCCATGCGCCTATTTTCTGGGATGTACCTATGGGCATCATGTCTGGGATCGGGACACGATGCTGATATTCAGCTCACGGTGGTCGGCTCTTTAGGTAGGTTTCCACCGCATACCCATGCCCGCAGCATGCCCAGTCACGATATTCCTTACATGTACAGCTAGGAGGGATTCTCTGACGGCCGAATTCAGTCCGCTGCTGCTGAGGCGAGACGGTGACGAGATAGTAGCAGAAGTAATGCCTTAAGACTTTTGTCAAAGTCAGATCGCCATCTGCAAGTAAAAAATTCCCGAAGAGATGTCATTTGCAGTCGAACCTTCTTCTAACTCATCCAGCAAAATGCCTCGGAGGAAGAGTTCAGTCCTCTCTCTCATTTCGGCATCGGCATGCTGTCCTGGTGAGCGGTTATTCGGAAGCAGGAAATATCGTGTACCGATAGTACTCTCAATTAAATCAGTGACCACAGTCGTGACCTACAAACAGTTGCCAGAAATGCAATAAGCGTCTTGCAGTTACCTCAGTAACGCATCCTCGTTGATGAAACTTGGTTCCTCGAAGTTTCATATCATTCTGATACTCGACCGCGTTGATAGGCTCGGGTCTCTTAACGTAATGTTGAGGGCTCGAGAGTTTGAGAGACACTATAACCTACACAATTACTATGAGCATGTATAAGACTCGTCCCATAAATTGAAAAGTAGAATCAGACGTGAGGCGTACCTTGCGAATTTTCGCCGCGAAAGCAGATATGTTTAGTCGTTTACTCCCTATTATCCGTGTGTGTGTTTTATGAAAGGACTCGACGATGTTGGTCAAGACCTGACATAACTTATGATAAAACTAGCTAGCATCGAAATGCGACGCTGGTAATGTGCGTTGTAAACAGTGTCCCACGGAGAGGCTTGTTACCTGAGTTCCAACAACACCTTCATTCGTTATGGCTATATTTGGATAGCCATATTGTTCGGTGTCTAGTGTCTTCCTCAAATATTCTCCCCCTTGAGGAGAAATATCACTAACGACCTCGGCCATGGTATCGGAGATCAACTCGTACAAGGCATCGGTGGGAGCTGCATGTAACCAGTACTTATTTCGTTTCACCTAGCAGAGAAACGAATCAACATTCGTATGAGCATCATCTACTCTCACTATATCGAAGCCTTCACCGAGAGTGCCTTTGTTATCTTTCAGGTTCTTAGTCAAGTGGAAGTAGCAACGCGCTGAAAATCGCGAGTCAAACTGCGGTCAATTCAGGGTCCCACCTTACCGTTCCTCACGTTTGGTAAGACTTCACGGCATGCCTTGAGTGCACCTTGATGGGCGTCGTGAACACAGAGGTTCACGACGTCCTCAATAGTTTTCTCACCCAACGTCAAGGCTCTCACCAACGCGTCGAGGTGCGCTAACAGATGATGGTACACGTCGTAGCATTCTTCGTTAATGATAGCCATGAAGAAGGGGACGAATGTATGCCGGTACTGGCGACGAGAAACATCGAACCTGAGGGATAGAGTTGTAGAAGCTCGGTTGGTAGAAAGTTGCTACCATATCCTCGAGGATCCAACCCATGCGACTTTCTGACTCCCACGGATTATCTTGTTCTGCGCATCCATGTACAATGGGAAACCCGAGGGCATGGAGCGTATGAACCAGAGCAATGATGCTAGCATACCTAATCTATAAATTACAACGATTGCCTATCCTTAGCACTTCTCACTCGCGCCGCCGATCACGCAGGCGAAGTTGTCACCCCAGTATCCGCCGTGGAACACGAACTCTCTTGAGGGTATCTTGTCTTCTCTGATGTAGTCGATGATTTCCTGGCTTATACGCGAGTCCTCGAATGCTCCCTCCAGTTCGAAGAAATTGCTGACTGGATACACTGCTATGTCGCGTCTTCGTTGGATTCCAGATATGATATTTTGCACCTAGAATGTATCAGTCTCAACTTAAGATTCTCAAACTCCTCGTCTAACAGCAGCTCTAACAGCAGCTCTATCGTACTTGATTCCGTGTGATCCGTCCCGATTCAACGTAGTCAGGAAAATCCTCAACCAAGTTATTAAAAATATCACTCGCCGTCTTCCCCCATCTAGAAGCCTTATCGACGATATAAGATGCGATTTTCCGCGGATGACGAGTCCTGTTCCGCTGACGCGGAATCTCACCGTGTTCTCCTGCGAAAACTGAATAGCAGATACAAATTCTACAATCCATTACCTGCACTGAGCACGGTTACATGATCACCATTATTCACCAGCTTCCACTTCTTTTCGCAGGCGAGGTGATCACCACAGTGATAAACTTCGTAGTTATCACGGCGATACGATAACAATGCAACTTCGTCGAGCTGCAGTCGGTCGAGGGCTGTTTTGAAGAAGTTGGCCCCACTAGGGATCCCATAGATCTCGTTCTGTTGCTGCCAGTTAAGCCGACGTGGCATGAGATACGTGCTGATCGGTAAAGCTGTATAGTACAGTGGGGTTATATCCGTATTACGCGTACTATAGTGAATAAAACTAAGTACTATTCCTAGATAGCTTCACCTCTATTCAAACCTACGACCTGTCGATCCACAGTATTTGATTATCTTTTGATTGTACCGCGAGTTACTCGCTGCGAGCAGCTATCACTGTAACAGGGAGAGACTAATGTGCCGTTTTTTGTCCGGTTCACATAGAATCCAGACACTGTCACGAAAGGCATATCAGCCTGTCCCTGTCGTTAGGAGTCGTGGGCTTTTTGCCTACAATGCAACAAATTAGATATGGACCACAGATCAAGCTTGTAGCATTGTGGGAGACGTGATTTTACGCGACGCATGGCAAAGTTTATACACTACGATATGAAGCGGACGCTTACCTGGCAACTTTTTAGAGCTGCTTCAAATACAGCCACCAGAGGCGGATGATCCGCCGCGGATCAAAAGCCCACAGAAGGGTGAATTTCTATTCCTTCGTATTTCCCAAAAAATGTAACAACGCTCACTATAAAACTCCACTTATTCTTTCCCCTCTGTTATTCCCAATTGCAATTCCCCACGGGATCCGCCACTGACAACAGAGCCTGGAAAAGAGCCACTTGACTGATATGACATGAATAACACAACTCGAGCCCAAATCCGAAACACATATCGCATGTTGTTGACGCATCATTTATCATCGCTATTTAATGAGTTCTGCATCGGCTGCATGAGATTTGAAGGGGGAGCGACTATTACCCAATGCCGAGGGTCATGATCAGTCTCAACTCTAAGGCTGGGCGCACCGCGGCAATTTGGTGGTCGATCCAGCCATTGATTAGTTTTCTCAGGACCCAGAGCAACCTTGACTTCCCGTTTCGCCGGAAGGAAGACGGTGCCGAAAAAAACCCCACTCGTCGCGCGCCCGGAGGAATACAGGACAATCCGGACGTTACAGCCCTCCTTATAGCCTGACTGGATTCTGATACCGATCCTCCCATCCCCACATTTTGTCGCTGTGGCATTTAAATCTCGGCTTGCCTTTGTTTTTTTCTTCATGGGAAAGTCTTCAGCCCGCTTGTGAGTTATATCGTTATCCTTTCGCGCCGTCTAGCCAAAAAGAATATCCCGTAGAATCCCAAAAAATAGAACGTTAGATGAGTCAGAGACGAACAGCAGTTGGCTCGAAGGGGTAAATCTTACTTTGCGTCGTTTAGAGACACCACTACCATCATCACCAGGCGAGAGATCAATGTGTGACTGTGAAGATCGAAAGGCGGGCCTATAAGCGGTAAAGGTTCCTATTCTACATCCAAAGAATGATATGCGAGGTCGGATGATAGAGAAGTCATGCTTACACTGTTATCCTGAGATCACTGGT